AAATTTCGTACTACAATAGGATCTGGAAGAGTTGTTATATAACCTGCGTTCTGGGTGGCGAGAAGGATAAGCCAATGAAACCATCTGTTACGGCGACATCTTGGCGTGCGATGCACGGTGGGTATTCCATTAAAAAACATCAACGCTGATTCATTAATCAATGTCTGACGTCATAGCGTCAAAATCCGTTTGTACGACCTCTGACACGACCTTTTACTACAACCGGTCAGATTTTTTTGTAGTGTAGGCCATCGAAAGTATAAAAAAACGAAATGAAATATAGATCTGTATTTTAATCAGATTGCGGTAAAGTAGCAGATTATAGGACATCAACAATAAATAATATCTCTTTGGTTTTCATTTATGTTCTAATTTGGCTTTTCGAACACAGCAGCCCTATAGACTAAGTATAATCTCAGAGTATTTTGGGTGAATTGACGTGAAATGACCAGTTAGATATGAGAGAGAGAGAGAGAGAGAGAGAGAGAGAGGGGGGAGAAATAGGGTTTAACGTCCACTCGACATAAACTAGGTCATTTCGGGACTAACACATGGTTCAATTTCAATAATTCGCTTGCGCGTAGGGGTCTTTATCAGTGGGAGGAAACCAGATGACCCGGAGAAAACACACGAGGTTGGACAGGCGACCCTACTACATTTCACGTACAACCAGGGAATCGGAACCCCGCCAGTTGACTCAAGGACAGACCGTATGATACAGCGTAGCACGTGCTAACCAATTAGATATGTTGTGTCTGATATATATTGTATAAGTTCTTCATTTGTGAACATACCCTCAAAGCATGTCAAATGTCCATGACTATTTATCATATCACAACCTGCATAGGTATTTGCATTTCAATATCCCCTACTTTTTTTGAGTAGTATATTGTATATTATGTAATAGTTGCGCACCGCACATAACTCACGAACATTGTACATAAATAATAAAGAATATTTTCCCACTATATGTACTAGCTGCACTATATGTACTAATGTATTCATTAGCCCAGTCGGATCAGAACAGTAGGACGTTAAACCCCGTGTTATTTGAAAGGTCTATCTGGCTTTTTATGGTATCACTGATCGATCAGTACTCGGTAGCTATTACTTCCATATCAATGAGTTTTAACTTCAAATGCTCTTACTTATTATAGAATTGAAATTCCTATAATAAGTAAAAATATAAGTAAAATCTATTTATAGTAACAGCGATAACTAAAACGGCTAAACATTGTATTTTCCCCAAATAAACATTGTTATTCAAATTATTGCACATTTATCTAATGTTTGGGTAATACTGGCTCATTATTTTACATAATAGATTGATTTTTAGCAGTATGGGTTAATATTTGTTAGTATTGGGTCATCAAGGGAGGTAACTGGAGCATCGAGACTTTGACCATCACCTCTGCCGTACATTTTTGCAAGTTTTCCACGAATTAACTCAATATCTTTATAATATTGAAGCAAATTGTTAATTTTTACAATATTGGGGTAGTATGATGGTGGTATTTGGTGGTATTTAGTTAGTATTTGTTGGTATTGAGTAGTATTGGTAAATCGACGAACAGTGTTTGAATAACCATTTTCTGACAAGGTAGTGCTGATATTCATGACTTTGTGAATATTCATGATTTTGATTTTGTTGAATATTCATGATTTTCGGGGCCGAAGGATCAGAAAGTAAACAGACATGTATTAGGGTGATCGCCTACCAAAATGACGTCACTGCCTATAAATTCCTTTGACCAGGCCTATCAAAAATTCGAAATAGTCAACCCCCTTTCAATATTTTTATCATATGATTGTGAGATATTTGACTCTTTGTGGTTATGAAGATTAAGATCATCGGAATGCTCAAAACAATGTTACAGGCCAAGAAATGAAATGAAATGAAATGGGGTTTAACGTCCTACTGTTCTGCTCCTATGCTGGGCTAATGAAGACGGACATACGCCATACAGTGTGCTATGAGGAAAATTTTGCCCGGGTAGCGGCACTATCGCCTACTCTTATATCGAATTCCAACTGCCAAGGGATCTTTTACGTGCATTCTAATGTATACACGGGACCTCGGTTTTTCGTCTCATCCGAAGGACTAGACAGCTGTCCTTGTCGGGCCCTCCGTCCTGCATCACTGACAAGGGGGAACCACGCCGGAAAATCTCGATGAACTTTCTCGGCCAATGCAGGGATCGAACACCCGACCTCCAGGCTAGCGAGCCATCGTCTTACCCACTTAGCCACGTAATCCCCCTACAGGCCAAGAAATTTCATAGATTTAACATTGAAATCAGTGTGGTGAGAGAATAGGTGGTCGGAATTCTAATCATCGATAACAATCACAGAAGGTAAAGGGGGATAACTCTTGATAACAGTCATGGATTAAAAACATTGCAGTCAATGGGGAGAGAATTACAAGCCTAATTCCTAACCATGACAAAGGGGACATAACTCTTGATATGTCATGATTTAAAACATTGTAGTCAATGGGTGGGGGGGATTACAAGCCTAAATCCTAACCACGACAAAGGGGAGATAACTCTTGATATGTCATAGATTTCACACTGCAGTAAATGGGGAGAGAATTACTAGCGCCGATCCTAACCATTACAAAGGGGAAATAACTCAAGTCACAAATGATCCCATAAATGCCAACGAGGTAGACAGATTCATCTATTTGGGACACTGTGTTGATAAATTCTTCCACCCTCCCAATGTGGCAACCCGTCGTGAAGAGCGCGGGCATTTATTTATATATCAAACTCATATCCTACTCAAATATCATGTCCGTATTAATTTATATGGTCCTAAATGAGAATATTTGCCGCCAAACAATCTCATTATTGGTTGTCTTAGCTGAATGTTACGTTTTATCCAGTGATCTCGGGAGACAAGTAACGCGCAACAATGTAAAGCAGGTGTAAGAAACAAGATTTGGGTACATTCGTGATACTACTGTATTCCTACCTCGTATAAGAATCGTGTGGCTGAAGGAAATATCGATCCTATACACCCCCTCAAAAATTAAGCACCACCAACTTCAATAATAAATTTTGAAGCGAAAATTCAACATAGAAGAAAACGGTCAATGATGTTTAAAACTAGGTTTCGTTATAGAGAGGTAACAGACAAAGACAACTTTGCATGACATGCACGTGCGCGGTGAAAGTCACTGTAGCAAGGTGACCCTACAACTGTAAAAATCAAAGTTTTGTCCTGTCATTGCTAAGAGGTTTCAGAGTCGTAAAGCGATTGAAAAACGCATTGGACCTATGCCTCGACGGCGTATTAATAACAATGAGAGGTGGCAAATCATCGGAATGCGAAATGCTGGCATGTCATGTAGGGAAATTGGACGGCAACGTAACATAAACCACAGCGTCATCAGTCGTCTTGTAAGGGAGCACAGAGCTACGGGGGATGTCAAAGATCGTCAACGAAGTGGAAGACCACGAAAAACCACACCTCGTGATGACCGACTCCTTGTAAGACATGCCAGGCAGGACCCAAGATCGACAAGTCGGAGTCTCAGAGACAGGTGGCTAATCAACACCCGATTGTCCCTTAGTACGGTGAAGCGACGACTAAAAGCAGGTGGACTGGCAGCACGTACACTTATCAGACGTCCTCTCCTCACTCAGAGACATATCCAAGAACGATTACAGTGGTGCAATGCAAGGAGTGGTTGGAACATCCGGTCTTGGAGACGTGTCCATTGGTTGGACGAAAATCGGTTTCTGTTACATGTAACTGACGTGAGAGCCCGGATTTGGCGTCTACGAGGCACTGCTTACCAACAGCATAACATCCAGCCAGAGATTCCATTCGGTGGTGGTTCTGTGATGGTTTGGGGATGCTGTTCATATGACTGCAAACTGGAGCTGATTCAAGTTCAAGGCAACCTCAATGGCGACAGATATCAAAATCAAATCCTCCAAAGGGAAATTGTGCCCCATTTCGACAACCACCCGTTGGCGAGTCGACCAATCTTTATGGACGATAATGCCCGGCCCCACCGAGCCAATGTGGTGAGGGAATATCTTCGACGTAACGCCATTGACACTCTCCCTTGGCCGGCAAGAAGCCCTGACCTCAATCCGATTGAACATTTATGGGACATTTTGGGTCGCAGGGTGCGAGTACGGGACCCTGGTGTGCAAAATCTTGCGGAACTTACACAGGCTCTTCGAGAGGAATGGAATAATATTCCACAGAATCAAATCACACGACTCATTTCCAGCATGAGTAAGCGTGTTGAAAATTGCATCGGTGTCAGAGGAGGTTACACCCGATATTAACTGCAATTTGGGTGAAGAAAGAGAGACAATTAACAAGTTATTTCAAGACCTTTCGGATAAAAAAACAGTTGACCGGTTTCTGTGGACAGTGATACTTTATTGGCTATCAAATTTGCTGAAATATTCATGTATTGAAATATTGTTCATTAAACATTTCTTTGTCAATTTATGTAGTCATTTATCATGTGTAATACAAGTTTGCTGTCATACAAACACAGAGATGACATATTTAAGGAAAGTTTTGCAGCAGTTATTGATACACAGTGGGGGTCATTTCAATCATATCAAACAAACTCTGGTGGTGCTCAATTTTTGAGCGGGTGTATATTAGAAGCCAGTCTCGTCTGACATCTTCATTAACTTTGAAATATAGTTTTGTCGCGGGGAGCAGATGGTTGGGGTGACACATCTGGTTCGTGCGTGTCTTAAGTATCGTAAAGATCTGTCATGTATATAACATTGTAAGTTCGATTGGATGGCTGGAAGTGAACCAGGGCAGGATCGTCTGTCTAGGAGCTTGTGGGCGTTCCTGTCACTGTTAAAGACGCATGAACAAAGTTAGTCCCGAACTGAATCTCACCCGCTCTCCGTCGCTCGTCCTCTCTCGCTCTCCACCATTCTCTCCATCTTTATACACCCCCCCCCCATGTCTTTAACAACTGAAATGAACCAAAACAACAAATGTACCATATTTTATTTTGTTTATCCTCTAGCAATATTTAAATATACTTCAAGACAACCACGAACTTTAGATGTCGCTTTCTCTGTCAAAATGATCTTAATGTGGTAGGTTCCCTGAAATAAAGTCCTAGTTATAATATAAAATTGGTATTATTCGAACCTATGTTATGTCCAGGTGGAATTTACTGCTGTTGGGCTAGTCAGACTATAGCTATCATATAACTGTATGATCAAGACTTAGTACTAGCCAGACTATAGCTATGGTATTACTGTATGATCAAGACTTGGTACTAGCCCAGCTATAACTTATAGTGTGGCGTCACACTATACGCACCTCATCTTAAAATAGTAATAATTTCAAATTAACTGCCCTGGATTATTCTAGAGCAATTCGTTGATCAATAGTAATACTCGCATGAACATTTTATCCCGAAACAAATTTTACTCGACTTCAATGACTGCTTTATACAATTAATAAGTGCCCAGAAAACTCTTTTATTGATAAATTTAAAAGGACTGTCTCTTCTCGGCCACCAAATCGCAGAGAAAAAATAAACAACCGGTATTTGATCAAACGCTGAGTTAATTCGATCCTAATTCCCAATACCCAGGAAAGGGTGTATAGAGCGAATTGTCTGCACATTCCATCTATTATATTATATTCAACAAAGAAATATTTTCTTACAAGCATGGCGATTTTAACGAGCTCAATAGACTTCTACAAAACGCTGATTGGAAAGCCGAACTTGAATATTTAAGCACTAAAGATGCGTGCACATTATGTTATGGCAAAATAACTGAATCTATAGGTAGCACAATTCACAAAACCAAACGATAAACCGTGGTTTAGTTCAGATTAAAGAAAATATATCCAAATCCGCTAATACACCAAACAATCTCAGAATCTAAATGACATTGAAAAATATAAAGATCAACCCAACAAAGTTAACAATTTAAAAACAAATCCTAAAAAGCAAATTACAATGAGAAAATTCTAGATAACGTTAAAAAATATCCAAACTAAAAGAATATTATTTGAAATGTATGAACCAGTGTAGAATTATCGAACTTCCTTGTTGTGTTTCCTTTGTGATCGTAAATACAACTACAGGTTAGTTCGTTTCTACAACTTTAATGTTAAACTAGTTGTCTTCGAAAGCGCCTCGTTCTCAATAAAACACAGATGATACCTGCTCATTATATCTGGGTGAGCTCTGATGAATTTCGCTCCACATCCTCTTTTATAACCCCTTAATTTCTGTACGCCATAGACAGACCTTGGCGTTAATGTCCTTCCCAAATATGGAGTAAGCACCCCCTTCTCCAAAGACCGGATGGCGGGGGGCATTACCTTATTTGCTCTACCAAACACAGATAGAATTTGATGGATATTTTTACAGTGGTAAGAATTTACCAAAATATCACTGTTGTTTTATATATAAATATATCATTCACTTTCCTTTGAACGTCGGATTTGACTCTATAGAAAATGTGAACCAATAATTAGTTAAAGATACAACTATGGTCGCAAGGACCATAGTTATATTTGTTGTTGAAAAGAAATAAATGTTCAGATATTCCTCACTTACTCTAAGAAGACGGAAGCAAACTCAAACTTTAATAAAGCACAAACGCTAAACAGTTTCTTTGGGTCTATTGCCAATAATACAACCGAACAATACCTTCCAACTTTTAATTCCAGAACTTCTAAGCACTGTAAGTAAACCTCTATGTTTGTTTTCCTATCTTGCATAAAATTTACTGTTTAGCGTATCTTTGCTTTAGTGTGTTAAGTTTAATTTGATCGGGAGACGTGTTCGTCGACGTCAACGTCAACCCACAACATTGCAAGAATTGACCATGGCACTGCAAAAGCAGTGGGTTAGATTGCCCCGAAATCGTGATTGGACGGTTGATTAGGGGCATGCCACGACGAATTGCTGAATGTCTGAGAATGGTTAGAGCAATTACTCATTATTAAGACAAAAATCAAAAACGTCCATTTTCACTTTTGACCGTGTATCTCTTTGCGAATCAGATGGGCCGTTAGATAAGCCGCCCATATGAACTGTTTATGTTCATGTGTAGGCAATTGACCTGTTATTAACATACACCGGTTACCTCTAATAAAACAGCAGTTTTGTATTGTTTCTGAATATCCCCTACTTTTTTTTGGAAAAGTATTGGTGAGTATTATTTACTAAATTGTGTACCATAAGTGATAAACGTATACTATATTATGCAAAATAATGTGACAAACTGAACTGTGGGAGTTCTAAGATAACGATGACGATGAGAGAGGCTTACAACTGCCATGATAAATTTAAAACAATTATTTCGAACAACAAAACTATACTATTCAAAAAAAGTAGGGGATATTTGATTTTGGGGGCATAAAACTAAAATATGCAAATGACTACGAAAAAAGTCACTATAGAACCTAACAGAAGAAACATTTCCAGTTACATGTGACGCCCAAACGCACCAATAGCTACCGCATGGAATGCAGGTGATGCTTGGGATCATCATGGGGGTCCAACCCAAGATTTGCACGACTCTGACTTTGAATGTTAAAGTCATTGTGGCATTGAATTCCAGGGTGGAAACATCAGTTTAATTGTTTTAGTGACCAGAAAACAAATTTTGATATGCGTCGGCTTACCCAAAATGAAAGGTTACGTGCCCTTGGCATGCTACAGATCGGCACAACACAGGCGGTTGTGGCGCGGACGATGAATGTTTCTCAGTCTGTCATAAGCAGGCTATGGTCCAGATACCGTGATACACAATCTGTACAGGACAGATCACGCTCAGGTCGACCAAGGGCGACAACTCAAGCCCAGGATCGATTTATCCGTACCTTGGCCTTGAGAAATCGTGTCATCACAGCAAATCAGATCAGCGCTCGTCTTCAAACAGACACTGGTGTGAGAGTGAGTGGCCAGACGATTCGGAATCGACTGCATAGGGGTCACCTTCGCGCCCGACGTCCTCGCGTGATCCCTTGTTTGAGAGATCATCACATTCAGGCAAGACGTCGTTGGTGTAGGGATCGTCAACACTGGGATAATCGACGCTGGAGCAATGTGATGTTTTCAGATGAGTCAAGGTTCACTGTTGATTTTTTGGACAGACGTAGGAGGGTGTGGCGTCGTCGAAACGAGCGCTTCCAAGACGTCAACGTCATCAGACATGATCGATTTGGGGGTGGTTCTGTTATGGTGTGGGGAGGCATCACTGTTGCTGGAAGAACGGCTTTACATGTTGTTGCAGGGCGTGTTACAGGCCAGTACTACCGGGACAACATCTTGGCAGTCCATGTTGTGCCGTTCGCACGACGTCATGGCCGCCGTTTCATCTTCCAGGATGACAACGCAAGATGTCACAGGGCCAGGATCGTTACAGGTTACCTCCAACAACAGAACATCACCACATTACCTTGGCCAGCACTGAGTCCCGACCTCTCCCCCATCGAGCATGTCTGGGACATGCTTGGACAGAGGTTACGTCAACGTCAACAACGTCCTGCCAATGTCCAAGAACTTGCTGCTGCGTTGTAACAGGAATGGGACAATCTGGACCAAAATGACCTTAGACGTCTCATTAGGAGTATGCCACGTCGGATCAATGCTTGTTTGGCAAACAGAGGATGATTTACCCGTTACTGACTTGGTTGTGATGCTGTGGTAACTTTGCTGTTTGACCCCGGGTATCATTTTACCCTTATAATGGTCAGTCTGTGCCTTACTTAGTCTAACGATCATTTGGAATAAATCGATGAATGTGAACTTCATTTCATTTTGTCATTTGTTTCTTCGTCAGTTTCATTAGGTGACTTTAATAACACTTAAAAATCAAATATCCCCTACTTTTTTTGAATAGTATATATCTATACGATATCATAATTATAAACCGCCGAATACTACATCACACTAGGAAACACTCAAAACCTAAAACCCCCATGCGTTAGAACCAAGACATTCCAAAAATCCTTGTTCCCCTCTAGCATCAAAGTCTGGAATCGTCTCAACACTACACCTAAAACATCGAGAAATCTAGTTTCTACCAGCAAGAAAGGCCAAGGAGGCAAAAGAATACTAGTACTTACATTAGCAAAGATCATAGACCACCAGTCGGTGCGTTTGTTGACTGTAAATGTACTTGGTGGAAGATCGATCGCCATTGGGTTAAATGGACAGGTACATGGTAGACCATTACCAGATAATTGCTTGGAACACCCCGAGTCATCTTTAAAGACGTTCAAGAAGTGGCATGGATCTTCATAATGACTGAAAAATTAATAAAATTCATCGACTTGCGAATTCGGAGTATCCGGTTGCTAAATTTCAATCAACTACATATTTACACACCGAAAACCTAGACTCGACTGCATTGTGAAAAACTAGAATACAGATACATGGTGAAAAACTATAATCCAACTAAGAAATAAAGATAAAATTACGCCCCCCCCCCCCCCCGTCCCCCAACAAAAAAACACCCAATACTGGCACCTGTCAATATATTTCACAGATTTGTGCCAAAAAGATGTTTTGGGTAATATACCCACCATGTTTCTACACTTACCATGTTCCGAAATCGTGGACGCAGGATATGTTAGTAAACTGTCCTAGCATTTCCTTCTCATAAACGACATCTATGGCCACATTATCCTTCAATTCATGGTTGAGTGCGCCCTTCAGTTCAACAACTATCGTCCCAGGTAGACGAATTGTATTAGGGCTTATGCCAAATTTACTAATGGTGATCCATGCGTCAGCTGGGTTAGCTTCAAAGATATATAAATTAAAAACATATCATATTTCAACTTGTTTAACGTTATACATCTCTGATGCATACGTCATACATTGTACTATTTTGTCAAAACTTGAAATTCCAACTGCCATGGGTTCTTTAACTATATCCCAAGTGGTTGCTCCAAAAAATTATTTCGTTATTGACTTGTTACAGAGACCCATTATACATTTCACAATACAATGTTAATAATATAATCTATTAATTATTACACGTATGAATAAACCCAGGGCGAACTGGTATATAAACCTACCACAATCTCCCCATTCTATATTACCAGTATGAATAAACCCAGGATGAATTGATATTAATTTTGGTATAAACAGTTACAAGAGTAAAAGCAACATGTCTAAGATTTCTTTTATTTACTAAGGTATTTTAGTGAACTTTATAACTGACTTAATGTTTCAGAAGTCGAGTGCTAAACCATTATTATTATTATTATTTTTATTATTATGTACTACTGTTATCTTCCTGGTATCACGAAAGATGTAATTGTCTTTAGATTCATCTATGTTCCAGTACCTGTGGTTTTCACTTTTATTTTATTCAGAGTATTATCTCCACCCCTCCCTCTCTCTCTCTCTTTCTCTCCCTTAACGCTCCGAATAATATAAAAGTGAAAACTATAGGTACTAGAACATATAGTTTGTACATAGATAAATCTAAGGCAATCCAATTAGCGATGCTAAACGCCGCTAGGAGCGCTGGCTGTACTATTTACAGACATCACAAAAAGTTGCCCGAGAAAAGTATACGTCGTGTTACGCCTTGTCATGAATATTCAAAGTGTCAAACATTGACCACGTGATGTTTACCATAGAGAAAAATAGATGAACTTGCTGTCGAGTAGGCTTTTGAGAAGCTGAGGTAAGATTTTCTGATATTTTTCATGAATTGAAAATTTGAAGTTGAGAGAAATTTTCGAAAAAGGCCCTCGACGCTCAAGATTTTGGTATATTTGGAAAGCCCAATTCATTAACTACTTAGTTTGACCATTTGTTAAGTCCGTATCCCCCGTAGGAATTCGTAAAATGGCTGAAATTGAACCATGTGGAATTAAAGGGAGGTAACTCGTGGTTGATCAGGGTTCAGACCATAATTAACCCCCCCCCCCCACACACACACACACACACACAGACTTCAGTGTAAAAAAAATGATGTTAGATTTGGACAGGGTTTTTTATTATATTGAATGTTACTAAAGCTACCAACCAAACTTTAGCCAGACATTTCACTAACAAAGGATAAAAATTGTGAATGTTGTTGACCACCTTGGATTTTATTTTCAGGAACTGTAGCTGAAGAAGTAAGCTACATAATATATACTCATCCAAATCCAAACATAGCCAAAGGCGATCCCTGATATTACTTTGTACAACATAAAATAGACAAATGATGATGATATATAGGCCTACTCATACAATTTGCATAAGGACTATAAAAAGGAGGACTATAAAAAGGGGGGCTTGAAACTGACTGTTTCTCAGCATTCTCAAGAAAGTCCATAATTATTATAAATTTGGTATGAATCATAGAAGTTAGTTTAATTTATTGTTTGAAATCAGTGTTAGTAATCTTATTTTTGTTATTTCAATATTTGTGATAATATTTATTTTATTTTTAACATTTTCTACCTGAAAGAAGTGGCCTGATGCGTCAAATGTTTTTGTTTATTTTGAAAAATATCGCATATGAATAATGTGATTATTTTATATTGTTATTATTGTTTCTTTTTGTAAGATACATGTATTAGAAATCTTATATTTGTTGATAAATGTGATAATGGTTTCTTTTTTTTTATCATTTATTTTAAACCGGTGGGTGAACATTTTTAATTTCATATTAAAAAGTAACAGATATGAATTTTGATCTTATTGTGATTTTGTTTTTAATATTTTTATATTTTTATGACATAGATAATGTCTCGGCAAGATGTATCACCATCTGAATGTTTATATTGTTTTTATTTTCATGGGATAATGTCTCAACAAGAAAGCTAGACTTCTACATGTATCACAAATTAATTTTTTTAATACTCTTTCATGTAGATCATATCTTACTTTTTATAAGCTTACCTTTTAATTTGGACTCTTTTAAGATATTCAAATGTTTTAATTATGTCTATTAATTATGTCTGTTTTTATTTGAAATTGTAGTGATGTTGATCACAAAAATATAGCTGTTATATAAATCATAGTTTAATTGTTAATTTTCATTCCTGAAACAAACAATTTCAAATTGATGTACATGGCAGCTTCTAAACAACTAAAGCAGTTGGCGTGGCAAAGGCGGCAAATCTGCCAAAAGCTTACAGGTTTATTTCTCATTTTGCCACACACTTTCATGATTTTTAAAAATATCCACAGTATACGTTAGTATAACCGGTTTATAATTGTTGTATGACTGTGAATGGCCAGTGGTCAATGGCCTCGGAACCAGTAGGTGCCCAATTACATACATAAACTTGTTTCTCTTCGACATTGACATCATACAGTCAAAAATTGTGATTTAAGGTGTTGTCATGCAAAAAATAAATAACAGAACAGACTGAAAACACTTTTATGTGTGCTTATTCATTAAAAAATAAGCCTCTGTATTAATGTCAAAGCGCTACAATTTAAGTACACACAAATTTGAAAAAATTTTTGCTGTGATTTGTGCGAAATCGGCACGGATCCTAACTTTGAACCTCTGTAACATAAAAAGTATATACTAGAATATTATAGCGACAATTTGGCTTTATCAAGTACATCTAGATCTTTAATTAGTGCAATTTTCATAGACCTATCTTGTATAGTTACTGAGATATTGGCTTCGGTCACTTTTTTGCGGTTTTTAAAAAAAGCCGTTTTTTAGCGCCTCTGGTTTGCCTTCTTTAAAACGCTATAACTTTTTTAATTTTCAATATTTTTTCGAAATTTTTTCAGATTATTCATTCTAGATAGTTCACAATTGCAGTATCGTTGTCATTTTTGAGTCAATGGTTGTATCTGAAAACCCGTTGGCAATGCTAATCCAATGACATACCTTTGCCAATCACATTTTGTTAACATTTCATGGATCTTGGCCTTTATAACCACATCATGACAAAAATGAAACAGGAATATTCAACAAAACCTGGCCGAAATTGTAAATTCAAAATATCTGCTATGGTCAACAAAATCAGTTAAGTACAAGACCCAAAACCTCGGAAGGAAATAATTGCTATAAATAGACGAACTGCACTTTCCATCATGAAAGTTATATTAGTCTTTGTTAATAGAGAGGGAAATTATAAAGTCACAAATGAAGGCAGATTACCATTAATTTTCACACTTTTTGTCACAGCAAAACATGGGAGAGAGAAAGATGTTAGGCAGGAAGTTCCAGATTTAGGACAAATGAGGCCCTGTGTTAGTTAAGTTATGGGACCCTTTGCATGGGCCCTGAACTTGGTAGGCCTGACATGCCTACACAAATAAAGCAGTAGTTAAAATATGACATGCTACCTGATCAATCATTATTTTCAACAAGTTTTAGGCACATTTATGAATAATATGGAAGGAAGATGACCCTCCCCCCTTCCCGCCCTGGCCAACGGACCACTGTGCTTAATCACACCGGTAAATCGGGTACTATATGTCAGTCAGAGACTCGTACGTGATAAGGAGTAGGCTCGCCTACAAAGTTTTTCTTCTGGTACTCTCAGCGATAAAGAGAGCTGAGCACAGGCGATTCTTTTTAAATATACGCCCTCTCCTCCGCACCTACTTAGAGGGTGGACAGTAACCTTACTGTTCTGTAATAACCGGGATATAAATGAATGGTGTCCGGACAGGCAGGCTACGACCTACTCGTATTTCGACCTAAAATCGTCAAGGGTTCTTTTGTGTGGATGCCAACATACCATACAATACGGATTGCTAGACAAGGTGTCTTACTACACACTCCTCCCTGCACTACTGATAAAATGCAACCACGCTGGAAGATCTTGAAATATTTTCTCGACTGAAGCCAAGATCGAACTCCAGAGGGAACGGGGCTGTATTACTTACCTGGGAGGTTTTCTTGCACCTATTGAAAATTGATTTCATTTTTATATCTTTTTTTAAAGCTAACCCAACTGACACATGAATCACCATTAAAAAATTTGACATCAGCCGTAAACAAATTCCTCTATTTAGCGATATGGTTGGGTACTGACGAGCGCACTCGAACGTGAATTGAAGGATACCGTCAGCATATCGGGCGTTGGATTTGAGAAGAAGCTAGGAATATTTACTAAAATTATCTGTGTCGAGTTGTAACATGGTGAGTATATGTAACTCAAAATATTTGTAGACAAGAAATGAAATGGGGTTATCGAGTCCTTCTGCTCTTCTCCGACTGAGCTAATTACATTATATGGTTCGAAATGAGAACATTTTCCACCAATCATTGTTATTATTGGTAGTATCGGTTGAATGTTACATTGTACGTCGTATCTGCTGATCTGGGAATACAAACAAAGCGCCACAATGTAAAGCAATCGGCAGGACGATTTACCCAATACTACCCAATACCACCCAATACTACAACATAATGGTGCCAAATGAGCATATTACTTGATTTCTTTTTCAAAAATAGATATATCGTGGGAAATGTACTTCAAATATGATTGAGGATATCCGTGATACTACTGTGTGCTAGCTAGGATAAATTCTGGTTAAGTTTAAACTCATAAGAATCGTATGGCTGAAGGAATCTTCGATTCTATTAGAAGCTCTCTACTCAAGGTGGCTGTGTGTAAGACGCTTGGCTCGCTATCCTGGAGGTCAGGTGTTCGATCCCTGCATTGGCCGAGAAAGTTCATTCAGATTTTCCGACGTGGTGC